GACAGGAACAGATGGACTGGGTGAGTTATTCAAAGGTTTGACCAGAGTGTGACCAGCTTGGGCTCAAAATGAAGCGTGGAGCAACGAGATTTGGTGGCAGTGTCACAAAACAGCCCGTGCTCAACGACACACAATCCTCTGTCCCAGGGGCATGTTAATAGTTCTGTATAAAATGGGTGTTTTCCTTCTCCTCAGCCCCTTGCCCCCTGCCCAATGACCAATGAGGGGTCCCACGAAGCACCGACATGAAGGCAGCGGCGGTGCAGCAGAGCAGGGTAGGATGTGTGGTCCTGGCAATAAGTGGAATTACACTGCTTTGAACCCAGGCTGGCAGAGCATAAACATATGGATTAGCACCAACGCAACAGATCAAAACCCAAGGAGGAGGGCTCAAACAAGTCGTAATTTGTAACAACAACAAAACTGCAGGGTTTCATCACTTCAGCTCCCAACCCTCACACCTCAACCTCGCCGCAAGGAAAACAGCTGCCTCCCTTTTCTCTCACATCTGTCCTAAATATCCCGTTGGGGCAGCCAGCCTGGGAAGCACTGCCTGTTGGGTGGAACACCGCTGTCTGGAGCTGTGCGTTGTCAGAGCAATCACTGCGGGGTGGGGACAAGAAAAGGACACAGTGTTCAATGCCGGATCTGTTTGGAGAGTAGAAAACTGTTCCCGTGCAACCCTTCTTTTGCAGCAGCCAGGCTGCAGGGTGCTTCATGCACAGAGCTGCAGGTCCAGCTGCGAGTGCCCCAACACTGCTGTGCTGTTTGGCTGCAGCTGCTGCTGCAACAGAGGTAACTGCAGATCGACAAGGCAGGGCGACAGCACAACTGTAGGCACCTTCATCTGCTGCATGCATAATCCTCGGTGCTGAACCCTCTCCAAACTCATCCCCAGGTCTTATCTTTTCTAAACTGGGTATTTATTCATGTGGTTGTTTTATGTAAACTGCAAAGAGCCTCATTAAATGGAAACCTTCCCTCGTGAGCTTCATTATTAAGGTGGAATGGCACTCGGAACGCGCTGAGCAAAATCCATGAGCTTTGGTGTTACTTGGGGAAGGAATGCTCAATGCTGGCAGCCCGGGGCTTGAGCCCAACTGTCTCCCCCATTCAGGAGCATGCTCTGCTCTGGGATGAGGCACTGCAATGGGCACTGTGTGCAGGAAGCTCCCAGGAGAAACCCTGAAGAACAGAACGGGGTCCTGGGACCTGCCCTGCCCCAGCAGTCCAGCACTGGGCCCTTTGGATTCTGGAGAAGGATGGAGCAGCAGTGAGGCTGACCTGGGCTGCAGCTCCAAGCTTGGGGCTGGCTGACATGGAGCTGTGGAAGGGGATGAGGTTTTGCAGCCAAAACTTCCCATTGCCGGAATGCTGGCCAGGTAAATCCCAGTGTTTTTGTGGATCCCTGTTCTCATTTGTGTTATAAATGCTCATGGCAGAATTGACAGCAGAAGACACACACACATGGTTATGGATGCATGCATCAATCTGAGGCTGGAAATGAATTGGGTTGCATGTATTTTCCCTTCCTTAACCCAACTGAACTCAATCCTGCTTTCCCAGGACTGAACACCAATAGGAACCACTGCAGACAAGTTGTTTCCTTTTGGTAGCAGTCACACTTGATGAAGCAGTGTGATTTTTGGGGAACAGGCTGAGAGAGCAGAGAGGGACTGGATGCTCTGGCAGCGCCCCATGCATGCTGAGCCCTTTGCTGTGGTCACCCCAGTGCCCCAGTGGGAGCCGTGCATTGCCTCTGCTGTGTCTGGTGCCTCTCAGCCCCCCCCCCATGCATCTCCAGCTGAAGGACTTGAGAGCTGATAGAGCTTTTTAAAGTGGGGATTATGTAAATGCATATTATGGCGCTTTCATAAACAGGGATTATTTGTCGAATGCTTTCGAGTGCTTCCTTCGCAGCGATTAAGGTCTGTTGTGTAAATAGGAATTTAGTGGCTGCTTAGCCTGAGTTCCATTGGTTCAATAAAAGATGAGAGCAGCACTTTTTTTGCATTCATCTTGGCCTCGTGAGAACATCTTTGGGGCACTTCTCAGATAATTACATGAACATCTACACCTACTGCCCACTGCAGGCAGCATACCTTGCATGTCCATATCGACCATTCTCCATTTCCCTTCCTTGCTACTTTTGTGAATCCGTTAAATCCGTTGTCTCAGCTGCTATTCTGTTGGTTATCTCTCCACAAATTAACAAGTCTGAAAGTGTGGACGAAAAGCAAAGCAAAGCGAGCATTTTGCCCTCAAATGCCAAAAGACAGAGAGGTCCAACACGTTGTACCGTGGATTATCTGTGCTGTAGTCGGGCAGTGCAGTGCTGTCAGTCACACAGGGAATGAATCCCATCGAACATCACCCATGGGGCTGTTCATTCCTGGAAGTGGGAACGGACCACGGCCAATATTCCTGATGGGGCTCGATGAGAAAACGAGGTTTTGCTAGAAAACTTGGGTGCCCTCCTGTTGGGACGTGGCCACATCTCAGCCCCTCATCGCTGAGTGCTTTGGGTCACTGCTCTCCTTTGCATCTCCTTGGAGTGACTTTGCCGCTCCATTCTGCAGCTGGAGCTACCAAGGAAGGCATTAAATGGGAATTTCTCATCTTCCTCTCATTCGTTGTTATTTCCAGTCTTTAAATTCAACTTCTACCAAGCTAAGCAAGCCTAAAGCACAAGCAGTGCACGATACCTTGCTTTGAGAAGATCGTTTGTTTGAGTATAAACCAATATTACTTTCTAATTCAGCTGCGATGGGGATCAAGTTGTCACAAAATGCGTTTTCTCCTTTGGTGAATTCTCAAACACATAAACAGGAGTTTGAAAGGAGATCTCATCCTCAGCCTTTGGAAATGATTAATTTCCACTAATGATTTACTGATGTACACACGGCTTATTTTGCATAAATTTAGAGCTGAGCACGTTTATTCATTATGATTCCCTTAAAAATGGATATAAATATCAAGAGCAATTGGCTACCAAAAACTTGAATATTGCAGCACTGCATCATGGGGAGCTGACATGAATATGAGTTGGGTGAGAAAAAAAATACACAGAAAATGCTTATCCAAGTGTGATACTTTATAGCACGTCACTGAATCATCGGAAAGGGTTACATTCATTACAAACGTATGCAGTATTTGCAAAGGATTCCTTGGGAACTAAAAAAAAATAAAGAAAAGAGCAATATTTTCCTTAGTAAATGTGCTCTGTGATCTATGGAACACATTTCTCCAGTGAAGTCCAAAGCCTGGGCTCTCTGCAAGGCTGGAACACCTGCGCCATGGGATGGTTCACTGCTGGCACAGAGAGAATGAATGGAATGGAGGGCAGCTGAGGTGCAACAGAGAGCAAAGGGCTGCACACCTTGGAAGGAAAAGCCTTTGAGAGGTGGCTCCCGGTGTCTGTATCCACCAGGAGAGCAGGAGGGCACCTGCACATGGCCATTGACATGTTGCACTCGTCCCTGTATTGATCTGCTGCTTCGGCGGCCGCCCGAGCCCTTGGCAAAGGTCACTGTCTCTGTTCCCGTGTTACAAATGGGAGCGAGGAGGCGAAGAGATTAATTTTCAGAAGTGATTAATGTTCCCGGTGCCCATCCTCACTCACGTTGGGCCTCGAGCCCCAGTGAAGTCTGGAGCTGGGTTAATTAAGGTGTCCCCTGCCCCTCTCCCAGCCCCGCCAGACACGGCCGTTGCTCACTGTCGTTGCCTTTTCCCACAAACTCCTCCACCCTTCATCCCGTGCCAGCCCTCAAACCGGCTCAGGGACTCCCCCAGGGCTGCTCCCTCTCCTCCCTGGCCTCACATGTCCTGTGACACCCAAACACTCACATCCTCTCCGGGCTTTGTCCAATGGCTCAGACAGAACTCCCACCTCCCGACGATTTGGGGCAGCTGCTGCCCTTCGTCTCCGCTTCACCACGAGCAGAGCATCATTAAACAACAGTCAGACAAAGCAGCTGCAGGGGAAGTTTCTCCCAGCACCAAATAACTGTTATAGAGCCAAACTGCACTTTGTATGAGTGCAGCATTAGAACAAAAACGCTTTCTGACAGAGCGAGAGCAGCGAAGCATATCTCCAGAACAAGGAGACCCTTCCAATGCTGGGAGCTGCAAAAAGGGGTCAGGGAAGTGGGATGTAAAGCAGACAACAGACAGATGTGCACTGCTAATGTCTGCCAGTGCTGAAAGCAGTAACTGCAGCTCTTGGTGCCCCTGCGGCCATACAGTGCCATACGGTGCAGGATGTACACATCTCCACAGTGCCATACGGTGCCATGCACGCTGTACTGTACAGGACTGTGCTGTGCTTTATTGGGCTCTACAGTGCCAAACACGGCTGGACCACACCACATCATCCTGCACACCACCGTACCGTGCCATATAGCACCATAACGTGCCACACAGCACCATACTGTGCCATATGGCACCGTACCGCGCCATCCACCGCCGCACAGTCCGCTCACGTGCCCCTCTCCCGCCACCTCCCAGGCCCGCGCCCCTCGCCCGCGCCCGGCCCACGTGGACGCCCGCCGCCCGGCATGAATGAAGCGCCCTCCTCCAATCGGCGCCCGCCTCGCCGCCGGCCGCACGCGGGCCGCCCCGCCGAGCGCGTCTCCGGCCAATCGTGCGGCGGCGGTGGCCCACCCGCAGCCAATGGGAAAGGCGAGCGCTGGGCGGCTCCCGGGGCCGGCGGCGCCCAATGGCGGAGCGGCGCGGGCCGGCGGTGGCGG